ATAAACCCTATAAACCTCATAAACCCGAAACCCTAAACCCTAAACCCACAGCACGGGTACCAGGCCCAAATCTGCGGAGTGTGTTGGAAGTCCTGGCCATCAGAGCTACTTCCCACGGAAGACCTGTCTACAGGTTCGGAGACATCATGAAACGAGTACATGTGTATATAATACCTATCTATCCATCCCTATACATATATATATATATATATATATATATATTATGTATATGTATATGTATATATATATATATATATATATTATATATACATATACATACATATTGAGGATAGCTATATATGCACGTATATATATATATATATACACACATACACACTTGAGCTGCATCAAAGATAAACCAGAATCTTTTCGAAGCCTCGCCCCAACACATACCATCCCGCCTAAACCCTAAACCCTAAAATCGTCCCACCTGCGTTGTCGTGTCCCTCGTTACTCCCCGTGCAAAACCTTCTGGAGACTAACACACGAAGCTTCCGTACTTTAGGAATTAGAGGGTTTAGGGTTCAGGGTTCAGGGTTTAGGTTTAGACGCGCAACCTAGTGTTGCAATTTTCGGTTGCTGGCACCCACCGGTTTGACAATCCATGCCGACAACCCCCGCAAGAAGCTTCACTGTAGAGTCCTAGATGCATGTTCAGAATTTCGTCCGTGTCGAAGCTTGTTCATATCAAACTTACTGGCAAATTCATCGGATGCTTTCTTTTCGGTGCCCCTGCACCCCACCAAACCCCATCCCGTTAGAGCCTCCGTTTCTGACCAGTGCTATGGAGCTGCGAGCACAGCTTCTCCATGTTCTGCCAATGCGATTGTTCTTATAATAACAACAGCAATAATAACCATCCCATTAATAATAACAGTAGCATAACAACAGTTACTACTAAAATACTAATAGGCCCTCCAACGAATCAACACCCGCATCTTCTTGTGATCCTACTTCCGGGGCGATGGAAGCTAGGTAACGCAGGGTAGTCTTCAAGACTGCACGGCAGGTTGAGGTGCAACCAGAATCACCCCTTTGCTTGTATCTGCGAGCGTAGCATGCAAAGAAGTTCGAGCTCGAAATCATTCGGTGCTTCTTGCAGCAGGGATCGGGGCTGAATACGAGAGCCACGTTCCCCTGCGTTCGTATGTAAAATTGTATGTTTCATGCACAACGCACACGGGCTTCCCGGTCCAACAATCCCAGCCCACGTCGGCACCCCAAGCTGTAATAAAGCCAACATGTTCCCCAAACAGAAAACCGTTGACCCCACACCCTCAGCCTCGAGGCCCTATAGGATATCAAGCCTAACACCTTCCGGAAACATCGCCAGCATCACGTCCCAGGGTACAGCTTCGCCGGGAGCATATTTCCGGGTCTTTCCTGTCAGTGTCTTTGGTGTTTCGGGTTTAGGGTTTGAGCGGGGTCGGGGTGTGCAGAGCTTGAGCTGTGAGGGTCTGCAAGAATTTTCTGGGTCTATGCCCAAACTACCCTAAACCCTAAACCCCACACGAGTTTAAATCGTGTAGGCCCAGGCTTGGGAGTGAGATGGGTAGCTGAAGATTCCTGGGATTGGAATGAGAACTCTGTCATGAGTCATGATCCCTTTAGGGTTTAGTGTTTAGGGGTTTAGGGTTTAGGGGTTTTGGGTTTAGGGTTAGAGCGCTTCTGAGAGCACAAATAACACATCGAACGAGAGGCAGAAGAAGGACCCTAAACCCTAAACATCGCTACATCAGGGCACAGAAGGCTTCAAAGCAGATTCCAACGGTCTGTCGAAGACGACGCCTCGGAAAGCCTCTCCTGCTTAACAAAGGAGATACCTATGCAGGGATCCTTAGTATGGTGCAAGGCGTATTATGATTATTACTATGTGTATGTATATATATATATACGTATGGACACCAACAATCTGCCAAACCTACTGTTAAAACGCCATGACAACCCCGTCAGACCAATTTCGAAATCCCATTAGTATCACGACAATACGGATTGTACAAGGCTTGAAGGACACGTTCTATTGTGAGGGAGTCGTGGCTTGCAGTATCAAAAGTTGTAAGTAGCCATTCTCAAAGCAAGGATAAGCGGCTGCGTAGCCTGAGCCCCTTTCGCACCGTAGGATTCAGGGTTCGCCGGCTCGGGGAATAAAATCAATGGGTGCTAATCTTAATCCTCGAACCTGGACTCTTTCTGGCATGCCTTCCCAGGACATCTGGCTGATCTCCTTGAAGAGCTGCTGAGCCTGCATTCTGTTGGTTTAAGGTTTGGGGTTAAGGGTCGCAAATTTAGGGTGTAGGGGGCTCAACACTGCCTCCCAGCCCCGACTTCCGATGCGTAGTTACTCAATACATGACACATAACCCTAAACCCTAAACCCTAAACCCTAAACCCTAAATCCTAAACCTTAAACCCCTAAACCTAAATCCTAAGCCCCTAAGCCCCTAAACCCTAAAATTCCAAAAGCAACGGCCCAGAGCCTCATCGATACGACCCGCGTTCTTCAGCTTCAAGGTTGACACCTTGCCGTAGAGCGGCACCTGGGCTCTCAAATTCCAAAAGAGCTGCAGAGCTCCAGGATCTCTGCGAATTTAAAACTCTTTAGGGTTTAGGGTTTTTAGGGTTCTAGGGTTTAAGGTTTAGGGTTTTAGGCTTTAGGGTTTTAGGCTTTAGGGTTTACGACTTCGACTTCGGATTTAGGGTTTAGGCTTTAGGGCTTGGGGGTTTTAGGGTGGCTGGTCGTCGAAAGGCTGAAGGGACCTCAAGCTTGGAAGGCTCCCTGCTGTAGAAATATAGAAGCCTTCATAATTAGAATAGGGTTTCGGGGTGTAGTATACCATAATTTAGGGTTTATGGTTTAGGGTTGCAATAAGGAACCCCAAGAGACTATAGGTAATTATTAAGTTATTAAGGCCCCTGCATTATCTCCATTAGGAAAGCAATAGGCCTCAGTCTTAGTATCATAGGGACCCTATGACTTAGAGACCCTTTGAGGGAAGGGGGGGGGGGGGAGTGACTATACTCTGTTAAGCAAGCCTTCGTAGGTCCCCATGGTATTAGTTCAGAACCGTGGTCAAGTCCCCGCTCCCGTAAACCCTCAAGATCTACCTGGACCCTAAACCCTAAACCCTAAACCCCTAAACCCTAAACCCTATAAAACCTTCCTTTCAAGGCTCCCTGTTCTGATTTCCTTCTGCGAGTGCGTAAAAAGGTAGGGTTTAGGGTTTAGGGTTTAAATTAGGGTTTAGGGTTTAGGGTTTAGAGTCCTTAAAAAGGTAGGTTATTTGGGGCTAGGTACCTCCGAATTACCCTTTGGCTCGTAGACAGTCCCCGAGCACTAAGACCCAAACGCCGGCACTGAGGCCGTTTTGCTAGATGGAAATGCAGCGGCCCCAAAGCCCAAAACCCTACAATACACTGTAGGGTAGAAACTTTCTCGCTTACCCGCTTGCAGGGATTTATGGCTCAAGTTGGCTTTCCCGTGGGTTTAGGGTGTAGGATTAAACCCTAAACTTTAAACCCTAGTCCTGGGACATCTTTGAGGTTTACGTCGCCTCGAATGCTGCAGAATTCTACTCGGAGATCCAAGCTTCAGGGCTTCGCCGGAACAGCACATATCGTAGGGCATGCTCCAGGTCTACAGGGGTTCAGGGTTTAGGGGTGGGGGGTGTAGGGCGAGGGAGGGTTGGGGCTTAGGGCATGTTTTTGTCAAAAACGAAAGGATCCAAAGTGGGGCCTTAGGGCTGAGATCTGCAGCCCAATGCCCTCTGGGCATAGGGAGCATAACAATAGATGATGTGTGCTGGGTAGGCATTGCAAGAACTAAAGGGGTCTTGGCATCAAGTTTCGTGGCCTAACCCCTAAACCCTTTAGGTCGTTCCGTACTTACGCTCAGGATGTCCTTCGCTCCCAGCAGAAACATCCAAATCTATTGCAGTGTCGAATGCGTCTTCAGATATCACCTATGCAGAGACTGGGTTCAGAATCAAAGGATGCGAATGAAACTCACGCCTTAAACTCTGACCGTATAGCTTCCTTAACTTATAATCCATACAACCACTGTAGAAGCATTATCGAAACAAGGAAACCCAAATTCTAAATTCCTGATCTAATTGGCCCTGATCCCAATATCCGAACCTTAAACCCTAAACCCTAAACCCTACACCCTACACCCTAAACCCTATACCTAACCCCTAAACCCTACACCCTAAACCCAAAACCCAAAACCCTAATAACCCTAAACCCTGCACCCTAAACCCTATGAACCCTAGAACCTAAGAGCCCCTAAACCCTACACCCTAAACCCTATAAACCCTAAAACCTTGACCCAATTTTCAGGGAAGCTGCGCATCGACACTCCAGCTCCGACTTCGCATCGAAATCCTTCATGCAGTCCGGGTGAGCCATCCTCGGGAGTCGGCTTAGCTTCGGGTTTAGGGTTTAGGGTTTAGGGTTCAGGGTTCAGGGTTCAGGGTTTAGGGTTTAGGGCTTTAGGGTTTTATAAAACCTGAACCCTAAGCCTTATAGGGTTTAGGGTTCAGGGTTTAGTTTATAGGGTTTACGGTTTCATTAGGATTTAGAGATTAGTTTAGGGTTAAGGGTTTAGGGTTCTGTGCTTTTCATGATTAGCGTGCTTTGTATTCTGAGTCTCTTGCCTGCTTTTGAAGGGGGTTGGGGTTTGGTCGTTACTTTGCTTTTTGTCGTTTTGTACCGTTTTTGGTTTGTAGGATTTAGGCGGAACAGGATGAGAAGAGGGCTTCAAACCGACTCTTCAAGTTTAGGGTTCAGGGTTTAGGGTTTAGGGTTTAAGGTTTAGGGTTCAGGGTTTAATTAGTGTTTAAGAACCCAAGTATGCAGGAGCAGTAGCCTCAGCAGTACAACTCGCTACCAGCACAAAGAACAACAAGAGATTAAGAATACCATGCCAGCAGCGAAGACAAGGAGCATGCCAGAAATGCGGCGATTAGAAGTGAAGAGACTCCCATAAACCTATATGAGGGCCTTTAAATTACCCGTTGCAACCTAAACCTTATGAGCCCTACCCCCTACAAGCCTAACTCCTTTTCAACTCCTAAATCAACCCTTAACCCCTGAACCGCTTACCGCTAAACCCTAAATCCCCAAACCCTAAACCCTAAATCCCCAAATCCTAAACCCTAAATCCCCAAACCCCAAACCCTAAACCCTAAATCCCCAAACCCTAAACCCTAAATCCTAAATCCCCAAACCCCAAACCCTAAATGCCCCAAACCCTAAAGCCCCACGTGAGGTGGCTCTCGTAGGCCCCCGGCAGCTTCTTGGCAAAGGCCACGCCTGCGTGGATGAAGTCGTTGTCCCGGGACTCCTGAGGGTTTAGGGATTCAGGGTTTAGGGTTTAGGTTTCGAGGTTTAAGGGTTGAGGGTTTAGGGATTCAGGGTTTCAGGGTTTAGGGTTTAGGGATTTAGGAGTTTAGGGTTTAGGGTCCCTAACCCTCGGGTTAAAGGGTTTCGAGGTTTAAGGGCTAAGGGTTGAGGGGTTTAAGTTTTCAAGTGTTTAGGGTTTAGGCGTTTACGGGTTTGAGGGTCTAGGGGATTTAAGTTAATGAGGGTTTAGGGTTTAGGCGTCTACAGGTTTGAGTGTTTAGAGTTGGACATAGGACATAAGAATAAAAAGGACTACAAGGGAATATCTTAACAATCAGAATGCGTAGTGCTTCGGGGCATATGGAGAAAAAATGCGATCTGAATTCTGTTGACGATATGGTAGGATCCTATAGTTCTACTAAAGATTATACGAGGGACTAGTCTTGCTAATGTCTCCGAGCCCTATATTCGGGTTCGGGGCTTGACCCTAAACCCCTAAACCCTAAACCCTAAACCCCTAAACCCTAAACCCGCCTAGCGAGTCGCGGTCTCCAGCCTGCTCTTTTGGTTTGCAGACAGGTTCAGGGTTTAGGGGTGTAGCGTTTAGGGCTTAGGGCTTGGGGGTTCAGGGTTCATGGTTTAGGGTGTATGGGGTTTCAGGCTTGGGGATTTCGCAGGCTAGGGGTTCAGGCGTTAGGAGGCTGCATGCTTCACCGCCATCCTGAAACGCTGAACCCTGCGCACTAACCCAAGCCCTCTGACCCTTCGAACGCTTCTGCAAGCCGAACTACCTGTTCCTCTGACCCGAAGTAAGGCCTGGAGTTTTGAGTTTCTGGCCTGGCCCTACCTGGACCTAAACAACCCACCTTTTTAGGGTTCCTTAATATGACTTCTTTATATAAGTCCTTAAACATGTAGATTATTGGGGGTTACAGTAAATCTTATCCACCAGCTTTGCATCAAGATCGCTGAGCTTTGGATCGCACACGCCGAGGCCCGAAACGTAAACAACGTTCCCGCAGTTTAGCCCAAGTTCGACAGTCCTCAACCTACACAGTTTTTTAGAGTTTAGGGTTTAGGGTTTTAGGGTTCAGGGGTTAGGGTTTTGTGATCGGACACCTCATTCCGAACTGCCATACCTTTTCACCAGTACAACTGTAATCAGTACCCGATTTGTGGCTCCTAGAGAGCCAGTGGCACTGGACCTGTGAGTGACCGCAAGACTCGTTCGACTAGGGTTTAGGGTTTAGGG